CGAGCAAGATGTCATGGTGCCGTGGGTGATGAAGCAGAAGAAGGAGAAGGTGGCCAAGGAGAGGAAGGGGCAAGGGGGGCGGCAAGGGGGTCAGGAGGCGGGTAGTGACAGGACGTTTTTGAGGTATTATCATTTGTATAGAAAGGGCGAGTTGGAAGGGGATGTAGAGCAGGCTGGGGGTGTCGTGTTGGAGGCTGGGTATGAAAAGGATAATTGGTGGGTGATTGCGGCTTCGAGATGAATGGGTTTGATTTCTCCATGGTGGGCATGTTCAATCCTGGCCTGGCTTTCAACTTTGCTGGGGCGGGGAGTGTGCAAGTTGAATAGGAAAAGAGGATATATTTGCTTGGTTCGCCAAATTCTTCGCCATGATTTGCGTATTTACGCCTTGGCAAGACTTATAGGAAGTGCATGACTGCTCTCCGTCAGAGGAAAAAGCAACGAATAGAAGCCATGAGCACCCGCGACAAGAATGACATAGTACGCAATCGTCCACATCGTACTCGTACCCTGCAAAGCAGACGGATTCCTATCCTCATCGTCCTTCTTCCCCACGCCAGGAGGCCCAACCGGCACCCCAGCCTCGACCCCCACACGGCCGTAGAACCGCGGAAGACCCATCCAGTTGCAAAAGGTATGGGCCAGCATACAGGTATACACGTTCCCCGTCCGTATATAAACGAAAGCAGCAAAGAAGCCAAACAAGGACGTGTACGTGAATTGAAACAGGGATCTCAGGACGGCCATGGCCAGCGGAACCTCTGGGTGTCCGATGCGAAACTCGTAGAAATGGTGGAGATGGGCGATGCCAAAGTAGAGCGGGGTCAGGAAGACGACTTGTTTGCCGGAGAAGTGGGCGAGCATGTGCAAGGGGATGATGCAGGATCTCCAGACGATTTCTTCGCTTACGGGGCCCTGGTGGACGGGAAGGAAAGGCTGGATGTTAGTTTTGGTCTGGGATGGGGAAGGGGGGGAGGGAGTGCGCGGTGTTGGAAAAGAGGGCGACCTACGACGATGAAGTTTCTGTACCCAATCCAACTGGTCAATGTCTCGCGGACACCCTTTAGCCGGATCCAGTCTTTGAACTCGCCGTCCACGACGCCATACTCGAAGATGGGGCCTGCGAACAGGATGATGACCAGGAGCATGGAGCGCGCCGTGTCCCAGACGGAAATGGGCCATGCGCCGAGAAAACCAAGGGCCTCGGGGAGAGAGAGATCATGTTTGAGGAGGACGAGGATGGTGATTGCAGAGCAGACAATGGTCGAGCCGTTGACAGCCCTTGTTCTGGCGCGAATGGAAGAGGGGGCGTCGCGGGTTAGTGTTTTCGAGGGCCGGGTTGCGGACGAGAGGTAGAATGGGATGACGTAGATGAGGACATATGCAATCTGCGGAAGGGTTGTGGTTAGAAGAGTGTGCGGGTTGCAAGTTTTGTTGATGTATGCTGTTTGGTAGGTCGAGAACAATGGTAAGAAGATTGGTGGTGGGGGGTCGAGTGGAACTTGAAACCACCCGCCAACTTACGGAGAGAAGGGCGGCAGTGTTGGGAGACAGGACGGGCGCGTTGGGAACTGTCGAGGCATTAGACTTCATGCTTGTAACGAGAACTTGGGATTCTGCGAGAAGTGGAGGTGGAGGATGGAAGAAGAGCAAGTCAGTGTGGTGCCTGGCATGTATCCAGACTTGTTGCGTTGGGGTCGTGACAAGGGTGAAAGAAGAGCCATGTGTGTTTTGAGTGAAGGGAAAGCCTTGTCCGGCCAATCACAGGTACACCCACCGCCTTTGATATGCTTTTCGTACATGTCCCCCAGCGTGCTGATGCTCTCGCGCCAGCCTTTGATGGGCGGAGGCATAGTTACTCGATTGCGAACAATAGCACGCAGGATCCTGGGCCGAAGTCCGACGGAGGCTTGGAGGCTTGGAGCACGGGGAGCGGCGTCACGTGCCATCGATGGATCATCCCGCGCCCCCGATCCTGCCGTTTCGCGCCAACACCACACCAATGCGCACCACCCCATTCGCGTCCCCAGCTTCACACGTCGGGGACATGGATGGACTTTGGAGGCCAAGGTCGATAGCTGGCTACTCACTATTGTAGCAGCCATACAATATAGCACGCGTACCACCCCCTGCAGCCCACTCACCGCACTGCTCCACTGGCCGGCCAGTTCTACCGAGTTGCTTCCCTCTTGTACGGTAGGTAGTACCTGTCCTGTGTACTCCTGGAGTAGTACCTACCATTCTTTTCTCCAGGCCAGTCCTTGCTGCGCCATGGGGACATCCAACCGTCCGTCTTCAACACGTCACTGGCTTCACTGGGTTCACTCCCTCCGACGAGCATTGCTCATTTTTGCTTCTCTGCAAGCCCG